CCCACAATGCAACAGCTCCCCTCCCACTTCCTCCTGAAAGTTACCACTTCCCTGTGTCCATCCCTCCATGCACTCCTGCCCCCCCCCAGCTGTCTCCCTGTGCATAAGCAGCCCTTCTATTCTCCCATGATTGATCTCCCAAAGGAGTGTATCTACCTGATGTATATGTTTAGCTCATATGTCTGTCTTTTGTTTGGCTGGAAGCACAGGAGTGGGTTCAATTACAGGCCTGAAGGGCAGCTAGGGGCCACAATCTCAGGGGTCCACCAGGCTCTATTAACGTCAGACATTCTTTACTAGTGAAGTAAATTGTTGTTTGGTTTTAAGACTTCAGGGGTTATTTTTGGTTTAAAGTTTAAAGATTATCTCAGGGTAGTAGTTTTGGAGGTTCATCCAGTCTTCATGGCTCCAGAAATTCTAATTCCTTAAGAATGGAAAAATCTTTTCTGCATTTTCCCCCCTTTTGATCAGAGTTCTTCTATAGATTCTTTGATCAAAATATTCAGTAATGGTGGTCAGACACCATCCAGTTGTTTTGGTTTCATGGCAAAGGAGGCAGTTGTTCATGGAGGCAGCAGATGCATACTTTTCATTTGCTGGTGTCTGTCTTCCCTGGGAGCGGGGGTGATTCAGTGGTAGAATTCTTGTCTTCTGTGCTGGAGAGCTGGGTTCAATTCCCAGCCAGTGCATGTCGTGCACAACCGCTACCTACCTATATGTAAGTGGAGGCTTGTGTGTTGCCGTGACGCAGAACAGGTTTCAGTGGAGCTTCTAGACTAAGTCAGACTAGGAAGAAAGGCCTGGCGATCTGCTTCCAAAAAATCAGGCAGTGAAAACCCTGTGGATCATAAGGGTCTGATCCCGTTGTGCATGGGGTCGCCAAGAGTCAGGGACAACTTAACAGTAGCTGAAAAACACTTCCTACCCCACCCCCACCTCTAACTTGCTTAAGATCTAGGACCCTGGCTTTTCATAGGTAAAGCCCTAACACCTAGGGCTTGACATGTGCCTCGCACAGGAGAGTTCTTAGTAGATGTTTGTTGATTGGCTGAATGAACAAACACTCCAGGGATGAATGATTACGGTCTGTTTCCTTAGGTGTGAACCCTTACCCTGGCATTCCAGTGGATGCAAACTTCTATAAACTCATTCAGAGTGGGTTTAAAATGGATCAGCCATTTTATGCTACGGAAGAAATGTAAGTAAAAACCAGAGTGCAGATGGGTCGAAATCGGAAATTCAGTCTCATTTTAGATGCATGACAAAAGAAGCAAAACCCTTTAATGCAAAGTGTGTACGTGTTTTAAAAAAGAAAAAGAAAATTCCCTTTGTCCTGAGACTTGGAAGAAAATTTCTGAACAAAACTGAAGCCTCCCCTGTGCTTCAGTCTGAGCAGGGCTTTGAACCGGTTTATTCCGGTTCGGCCCCCTGCTGAGATGTTGCATTTCCACCTCAAATAGACTGAAACTGAATCTACACTCTACCAAGCTTCCCAGGTGATTGTTATAGACCCTCAGATGGTTGGTGTGGATACAGAGGAATACATAAGCATCTCCTGGGAGTCTTGTCGTCTATTTGAGGTGCAAGTGCAAATTCTCAGCAAAGGACCGAACTGGAGTGAACCGGTTTGGATCCCTGCCTCACAGGCACTTAATTCCAGATTTCCGTTCCTTGGCTTCAGGGGTCTGTGAGGCTGAGTAGATTCTGTCCTCTGACTTCTGTTCCATGTTTTGTTTTGTTTTTAATTTTTTTTATTGTAATTGGGTGAAAGTTTGCAGAGCAAATTCATTTTCCATACAGCAGTTCATACACATTTTGTTTCATGACATTGACTGCAATTCCTCACAATTCCTGCTTCCTCCCTGTAGCTACCGCTTCTCTGCATATTACCAAACAAAAAACGAACTTACTGACGTTGAGTTGATCCTGACTCATAACTTCCCCTCCTTGGGTCTCCAAGGCTGTCAGTCTTCACAGAAGCAAAGCCCAAACCACACCCACTAGAAGCAAAGCCCAAACCAAATTCACTGCCATTGACTTGACTTGACTCATAGCGACCCCTCCTTGGGTTTCCGAGGCAGTATCACTATGGAAGTAGATTGCCCAACCTTCCTTCTGAGGAGTGGCTGGTGGGTTTGAACCGCCAGCCTTCTGGTGAGCAGTCAAGTGCCTTACACACTACGCCACCAGAGCTCCTCTCTGCATGTTATGTTTCTTTAAATGCCTCTCCGCCCATTCTCTAGGAGTCCCTGGGTGCAAACAGTTAAAACATTTGGCTGCTGACTGAAAGGTTGGTGGTTCGAGTCCACACAGAGCCCCCTAAGAAGAAACGCTTGGTGTCTACTTGAAAAATCTACCCTTGAAAATCCTATGGAGGCAGTTCTGCTCTGACACACATGGCGTCCAATGTCCTGTCAATGGCCACAGAGTTGTTCAGTTGGGTTTTTTTTGCCCATCATCTAATTTCTTCTTTCAATATGGATTCACAATTCATAGTAGAATTCTTGACATAAAACAAACATGCCATAAATAGATGGTTCCAAGTGGTATAATGGTTAAGGCATTTGGCTGCTAACCAGAAGCTCAGTGGTTCGATCCCACTAGACACTCTACAGAAGGAAGATAAGCCAGTCTGCTTCTGTAAAGATAGACACCCTTGGAAACCCTAAAGTGCAGTTCCACTCTGTCCTCTAGGGGCGCTGTGACTCAGAAGCGACTCCACGGCAGTAGGTTTGGTTTGGGCTTTGCTTCTCTAAAGATTGACAGCCTTGGAGACCCTGTGGGGCAGTTCCACTCTGTCCTCTAGGGGCGCTGTGAGTCAGAATCCATTTGATGGCAGAGTTTGGTTTTTGGTTTACAGTAATGATGGTGTTTCATTACATAGAAAATGAATGGTCCATCGAGGTTGATTCACCGTGCTCCTTGTTCACTTGCTTTTGCAGATACTTTATAATGCAGTCCTGCTGGGCTTTTGACTCGAGGAAGCGGCCGTCCTTCCCTAACCTGACTTCGTGTCTAGGCTGTCAGCTGGCCGAGGCAGAAGAAGCGGTAGGTATTGCTGTTGTTGGGTGCCTTGAGTTGACTCTGACTCACAGCGACCCCAGAGGAGGGCAGCCCTGGAGGGTTTCCTAGGCTGAAACCTTTATCAGAGCAGATGGCCAGCCAGGTCTTTCTCCCACGGAGCTGCTGGGTGGGTTTGAACCACCAACCTTTCAGTTATCAACCGAGTGCTTATCTGTTGTACCCCCAGGGCTTCTTATGTAGCTGCATAGGGCTTTGCGAAGCATTGTTGTTGTTGTTGTTATGTGCCGTGGAGTCGGACCCGACTCATAGCAACCCCTCTTTGGGTTTCCGAGGGGGTATCACTAAGGAAGTAGATTGCCCCGTCTTCCTTCCGAGGAGTGGCTGGTGAGTTTGAACTGCCAGCCTTCTGGTTAGCAGTCAAATGCCTTAGGCACTATGCTACCAGAGCTCCCTTGCGAAGCATTAGTATAAAGGAAAATGGCGATTTAGAGCACCCTGTGAGGGCTTCCAAAGAGCCAAAAGTACCAAGTTGTCTTTCTCACCACAGTTTGTCATGGTTGCCGAGAACTGACTGTTGATAACGTGGTTTTAGAAGAAATGGCTTTTTTTTTCTTTCCTGAAGATTTCCAGCAATTGATTAATGAATAAAAAGCTCTTAACTGTCCCATGCACAGCACTGATAAGGAAATAAAACTTACTCCCTGCCCTCCAAAAGCTGCCCACCTTTCCTAATTCAACATGGCACTTGAGTATGGAATCATTACACAAAACAATTGTGTAACATGGTGGCATGGAAAGAGCATTGACTTGGAGATGTGAGAGTCTAAAGCCAGCTCTACTTCCTAATCACCCACCCACTGCCATCAAGTCGACTCCAACTCACAGCGCCCCTAGAGGACAGAGTGGAACTGCCCCACAGGGTCTCCAAGGCTGTCAATCTTCACAGAAGCAAAGCCCAAACCA